AATTACCAATGTATGGATCAAAATGATAATGTCTGACTGGGCCTTGTGTCACTTTATGTTCAATAAACTGGGCCCCGAGGTCAAAAAGGTTAAGAAGCCCATGACTTCACATTTTAATTGTTTTAATTCTCTTCAGCCACCCATACCAATCAACCAATCAACCAACCAATCCATCAACTACTCTACAGTGGTTGAAGGATTGGTACCCTGCAAGAATGTAGCCTATAGATGGGTAACTAGAGGTTGTAAACGCTGAGATACACTCATTATTTCAATCACAAACATGAAGGAACCCCCTTGAGACTGAACCAGTTAAATCTCTGACATAAAGCCACGAGCACAACGCTCTCTGTACAGAAATGGAACGAACCCTGTACTGCCCTCCGTTGCCGTCATCCAGCTCCAGGATGTAGCCCTCGATGGGGCTCTCCGCGGGCGCTGCCACCCTCCAGGCCAAGGTGGCGCTGTTGTTCCTGGTGCAGCACTTCTCCAGCTGCAGGAGGGGAGCGGGCGGCACCAAGGGTCCGGACTCCACTGAGAGGAGAGAGGAAGCATGAAGACAGAGGGGGAGCAGTGATGGGGAGGAGGAGGGAGGGAAGATGGAAACAAACAGAGATGTCGTCATCTGGTTGTGTTTTAACACTGATGGGGAAGAACAAGAGTTTAATGAGGATCTTCGTTGGAGATTATAAAAAATAAACCCAGGTTCATTCAGAGGACAGAGCTGGATCACATGAGAGCATTTAAGACTCTGAAGGGTAGAGGTGTCGACAGGGCAGTGGGTTAGACTGATACGAGCTTCAAGCTGAGGAAACAGTTCTGATAGAAACTCAGATGGGATTATTTCTGTTTGGTAAAACTGTAGGAAAAAGTAGGAATAAATTTTATAATATTACAGGATTTGTAGTAAAAAGCTGTGTATCAGTCTAAACCTTGTGGGAGGTGAGAACTGGACTTCAAAAGGGTCCGAAACAAAAACAAGAACATCCGAGACGTTATTATTCTGGAACATTTAACTGATAAATACAACAGTTATGAGGACACAAGGGAAAGGCAGCAGTCAAGAGGATTTACACAACACATATTTTCATTCTGTATACATATTTTAATCCAGTCTTAATTTGTTATTTTTATATTTTACCTTTTGCAACAGGATCCTTTCAGTCGCTCTATGTTTTCTTCTTTTTTATTTTTCTTATTTACCCCCTAAGCAGCACTGTTTCTTTGTTTAAACTCTTATTAATACGTCCTATTAAATACAGGCTGCTTTTACCCAAAGCAGCTGACCTTCTTAATGTGTAATTTATGCTTAAAGAAACATCTGTAAATATCCAACATAGTTAATTAAAATCAAGACTTTGAGCTAAAATAAGGTTCTGATTGGAAATAATGGTGCTCTCCTTTGTCTGGGAGAAAAATCCACTTGAATGTCCCAGAAAGTCACGTGCATTAAAGGTTGTGATACAATCCCCTCCAAAAGTATTAAAACTGCAGTGAAATTCCATTTTGTTTGTTTGTGTTTGTTTGTTTGTGTTTGTTTGTGCTTCTTTGTTTGTGTTTGTTTGTTTGTTTGTGATTGTTTGTGCTTCTTTGTTTGTGTTTCTTTGTGTGTGTGTTTCTTTGTGTTTCTTTATGTTTGTGTGTGTTTCTTTGTGTTTCTTTATGTTTGTGTGTGTTTCTTTGTGTTTCTTTATGTTTGTGTGTGTTTCTTTGTGTTTCTTTATGTTTGTGTGTGTTTGTTTGTTTGTGTTTGTTTG